ATCCTCCTGCTCTCAAGTAGCTGGGACCACTGTTGTGAACCACTGTGCTCAGCTGGTCTTTTGTTGTTGGAGGTGGTGCTGGTGGTGGTACTGGGTTTTTTTTTAATCTTTCCGTATCTTTTTGGTTTTGATACATATTTTAAATAGTTGAATATTTTCTTTTACCAAATCTGTGAGCTTTCCCATCCAATTAAAGAGTTGTGTTCCACTCCCATTTCGTATCAGTCCTTTTTTTCTTAAGTTTAATCATGTCGCTTAATTGATTTCTATCATCCTAACTCCTATGTTGGTCAAGTTTTTATTCTGTTTTTACCAATCACTAGAAAGCTACACAGCCAGGAATGGTTGTACGTGCCCATAACACAGCACTCTGAGAGGCTGAAGCAGGAGTATTGCGAGTTTAAACCTGGCCCAGGCACTTTAGGGATAAAACAAGAGCCTATCTCAAGAGGGGGGCCGGGGTGGGGGGGACACGCCAGAGGCCAGAAGTGCAACACAGATTGAAGATCTTGGGCTCAATCCCCAGTACCAAAACTAAATAAATAAAACAGATTATATAGTCTTTATACTTTTAAAGTGACTCTGTTAACCATTTAAACTGATTTTTTGTCAATACCTAGAATAAAAGTGGATCTGCTTACCTCCTACGGTAACTGTTGTTTCCTTCTCTTGCCATACTCTTCCTTCAAACACATGAAAGCACTTTTTTTTTTCAAGGAAATAAACCTGAATGTTATTTTTCCTATGTAAATAACATTTATTTTGCCTGGGTTCTTGATGGTTTTCCCCCTCTATTTTACAAATTCAAAACTGAACTTCAAATCCATGTCATCCTATGTCCAGTGACTCCTCAAATCTTTCTGGCTGCTTTCTGTTACTGGCTCTGGAACATATTCATCATGCTTATCCTTCAGAATGGTTCCTTCTGATAATGGTCTCTTTGGCACGTATTTCAAGGTTTGCTCCTAGTACATTTACTTGTCCTCCACCTTGGTCTGCTGCAGAGAAACACACCTGCCCGACTCCTTACAGCATCCACCGTGTTCAGGACTTGTTCTTCACCACAAGGAGAGTCTGGGAGAACCAAGATTGCTACAGTCAGAGGCTCTGCCCTACACAGATGCTCAAGACCAAAGAAGAGGAGGCTTAGTAGATCGTGTCATAGAGACACCACAGACTGTGAGACCAGAAAACAAGGAGGCAGCGTGGTGGGGTGGGCAGTCTTGAGGGGAGTTTCGCTTTTGTTTAGAGAAGTCTCTCTGTGTGGCGCAGCTTCCCAGAGATAACTGAGGGAGCAACCCGTTTCCTAACAGAGGTGTTTCCACACATTGCCTTGCATCTGCACAGCGCTCTGTAGTATTTAAACTGTATTTTCAGTCTTACATTTTCCTGTCATACTTCTCTATTTAGGGTTAAAATCCTTGAAGATGGAAGGGTCTTTGTTTTCTTTATTTTTTTTTTAGCAACCAGGGTTGCTACCATTTGATCTTCACCGCAGCTCTATAAAGTAGATGAGAGACACCTGTTCTCATCTTTATTTTGCAGAAATAAAGAAGAGAAAGACAGAGGACTTAAGAAATTAAGTGGTTTTTTCACAATCTTAATAGTTAAATGGGATGTGCAAACATGCAGGTCACTGCTAAGCCCACTCCTTTTCCCCACTCACCATCCTAAAGACTTCTTGGATGCTGCTTGTCCTGTCTTGGGACAGCAGAGACCTATTGTCATTGTTGGTGAAGCAGCAAGTTCAGTGCTCCCCTCTCTCTGTTCTCCTGGGACAAGCACACTCCCAGGCCTGAGCAACATGAAGCATTAATTCCTGCTGACAGCAGATGAAGCCACCCAATGGGGAAGGACAGGGAAAGCAAAAGAGAGAAGCCCACACCCCAGTGGGGTTAGGGCTGAGCCATGTGGGTAGGGGTCCCCTGACTCTAAGATGTCAGCACTTATGCTGCATCTGGCTCCTGTCCCCAGACCAGCAGCTAACGCCCCTGGGATATGCCAGCACTTATCACTGCCATCATTCTCCTTTTGTTAGGCTTTAATTAAGGCCTCTCAGGAAGCGTTACATAAATCCAACTCTGGATTTAAAATGTAATCAAATGAGAGTGAAGCATCATAAACATAAAACGTTTTTTAAATGAAAGTATTTTTAACTTAATGGCATAAAAATTATCTGGATACAGTACATCTAAATAGCAGAGAGATTGCTGTATTGTCTTACCAGTGACCCCAGAAAGCCCATGATTCACTTAGGTTAGTTAATGATTTCTAATTCTTTGAATACTTTATTTTCTCTTCTCTTTCCATGAGGAACCAATATGGCATTCTTTGAAATCCCTAATTCAGCCTAAGAATTCACTCCTAAAAAGATCTACTCGTAGGAATACTTTCAAAGCAGCTTATTTTATTTAACATGCCGCCTTTAAAAAGAACATAGGTCTGCATCAGTCCACCACCTGATTTCTGGTTTCCAGATCTGCAAACCAGCTAACCTCCTTGAGCCTCAGTTTCCTTCTCTGTGCAATGTGGGCACAGGAGTAAGTGGCCTTCCCACTGTAACTGTTAAAGTGTTCTGTGGTGGTTTGATAATCATCTCTTCTGCTAACCCAACTGGATTATGAGTCCCCCAAGAACAGGGCTTGTGTCTTTAGTACCTTTGCGAGGCCCGTCCGCACCCCAGGTGCTGGCACTGTGCACCAGGCATTGCCTTGTCCTCACTGATTGCCTCTCTCATTGATGCCACCCGCACCAGCTGGAGGCAACACTTTAGTGTTTTCTACAACAGAACACAAGATGAAAATTCACTCTAGCTTCTGTCTTATTGACTAGAATGTTTTAGAATCAAAAGCAGTGAGTCATACTTTTTTATTTATATGTATTAAAGTTGATCTTATCCACACTGGTATACAGATCTGTGAGGCTTACCACATCCACAGTTCGATGAACTACTGCCACAATAAGAGTAGTTTCATCTCCCTAAAAAATTCTCTTGTATCAGACTTCTCCAACCCTATACCCTGACACCTTCTACTCTAGTGTCCATCTTTATAATTTTGTTTTCTAGAGTGAAATATACAGTATGTAACCTTTTGAGATTGGCTGCTTTCACTCAATGTAGTCCCTTTGAGATTTACACATGTAGTCACACATCAATAATTTATATCATTAGTTTGCTCCTTTCATTGCTAAATAACGTTCTATTGTATAGATGTAACACCGTATATTCATCCATTTACCCACTGATGCATATTCAGGTTGCTTCCAGTTTGGACCATTTATAAACAGAACTGCAGTAAGCCATGTTTAAGATTTTGTGTGAGCATAAGTTTTTTGGTTGGTTTTGTTTGTTTGTTTGTTTTGTTTTGTCTTTTTCATTTTTATCGGTACCAGGGATCGAACTCACGACCGCACGCTTGCAAGGCAGGTGCTTATGCCGCTGAGCTAAATCCCCACCCCACCCCCTCAAGTATAAGTTTTTATTTCCCTAGGATAAACACCTGAGAGTGAAATTTCTGGCTCATATGGTAATTCCACCTTTAACTTCTTGGCTTAGCCACCAAAATTTTATAACTCACCCATACTGTGTGTGAGTTCCAGTTGCTCTGCACTCACCAGCGTTTAGTATTGTTATTTTGCTATGGTGGTAGTCTATTTTGCTTCAGTCATTCTAGGTTTTTAGTGCATCTCATTATAGTTTTAATTAACATTTAATTAACATAGCAGTGTTGATCATCTTTTCATTGCTTTCTTGATGAAATTCAGTTTATTAATTTTTTCCTATGGATTATGTTTGGTATAATTTCTAAGAAATGTTTACCTCAAAGTTACAAGGGTTTCTCCTATGTTTCCTTCTGAAAGTTTTAGTTTTACATTTTATATTTAGATGTGTGGTCCGTTTTCGGTAGTTTTTAAGGAGTATGAATTATTAGGTAGCTGTTTGTTTGTGTTAGAATGTGGAAGACCAAATGTTCCAAGTTATCCAAATGTCCACAATACCTTTTCTCATTGAATTGCCTTTGCATCTTTTTGTTGTTTGGTTTTGTTTTGGTACCAGGGGTTGAACTCATGACCTCACACTTGCCAGGCAGGTGCTGTCCTGCTGAGCTATATCCCCGGCAGACTTGTCTTTTCATTCATTGTTTTATTCTGTTGTTATATTGACCTTTTTAAATATTAGTTTAGCCTTATATTTCAGTAAACTTCATTGAATAATAGTGCATTGGTTTTATATGTTGTTGGATTTGATTTGGTAACATTTCATTGACCATTTTTATATCCAGGTAAAATTACTGCATGAGAATTTAGGTTTGTACAGTTCTCTTATGCTATCTGTATCTATTTTTGGCATCAGGATAATGATTCCTCTTGAATGACTTAGAAGTATTCCCTTATATTCTATTTTCTAGAGGAGTTAAGGAGAATAGGTGACATTTCTTCTTTAAATGTTTTATAGAAGTCACTAATGAAATAGCCTGGACCTGGAGTTTGTTTTTTTCCAAAGGTTTTTAACTATAAATTTAACTTCTTCAACAGAATAAAACTATTCAGGCTTTTTGTTCTTGGGTGAGTTATGATAGTCTGAACTTTCAAGGAATTTGTGAGTTGTTGAATAAGTTGCTGTATGTAAAGCTGTTTAACATAGGCTCTCATTACCTAGTTAATAATCTGTGTGGTCAATAGTGATAGCCTCTCTTCTTCTATTCCTGCTACTGGTAATGACATTTTCTGTATATATTTTTCTTTTTGGGCTAGAGATTTATCAATTCTTGTAGTCTTTTGAAAGAACCATCTTTTTTGTTTTATTGATGTTCTCTGTTTTCTGTTTCAAATTGCATTAGTTTTGCTCTTATCTTTATTTCATTCAACCTTTGTATTCTAATGAAATTGAATAGATTGAATTAATCAGCATTATTGAGCAAAACCATCACAAAATGTATTTCTAAACTTGTTCTTTCAAGAATCATCCTAATAGTTTTCTATATATTGTCTCTTTGCAGTTGACTGGTTTGAGCGTCTCCAATGGAAAGGACCAACTTGTAGTGTTCCATACAAAAGACAACAAAGACCTCATTGTCTGTCTCTTCAGCAAGCAGCCAACACATGAGAGTCGAATTGGAGAGCTTGTTGGAGTCCTGGTGAATCATTTCAAGAGGTGAGTTTTGTAACAAAGACAAGTTTTAAATATACAAAATCTTTTAATCATAATTGTCACTGCATAGTTTTGTGCCAGTATTAATATAGTAAGCTATTTTCCTCCATAAGGGCTACTTAAATCAGTGATGGTGAACGTTTTAGAGCTTTCAGTGATACCAACATCCCACTGCAGCATGCATGCCATAAGTTCACAACCACTGACTACTACTTCATAGGATGTAAAATTAGCACTCAGCCTGATTTTCAAGATTAAAAAGCCAAATATGGTGATGCACACCTGTAATCCGAGTACTCAGGAGGCTGAAGCAGGAGGATCACTGTGAGTTCAAGGCCAGCCTGGGCTACAGAGTGAGTCCAAGGCCAGTCTGAACTGCAGAACGAAACCCATCTCAAAAAGACAAAATGAAACAAAACAAAAAAATTACTCTGAAAATTAAGAATGATCTAGAGCCAGCAATATAGTTCAGCAGCATGGCACCTGCCTATTAAGTATGAGGTCCTGAGTTCAATTCCTAGTTCAAAAAAAACATACCGCAAAACATTAAGCATGATCTTCTGTTTTTCTAACTTGTTGCTAAGCCAATGAGAGATTTCCCCAATCATTGTTTCTTCACTGCCAATCCAAATGTAATTAAATCTTAAAATAGAAAAAATTGCTTTGTTTTCGTACCAAAAATTAGAATCTAAAGAATACAGCTTCCCATTTACTCCAAATATAATCAGCATGTCTACTATGACTGTAAACAAATTAGAATTAGAAGATGGATTTAACATAGCATGTAGTTCCATGAAGACTAAAGAAATTCCACACAGAGGCAGTACCTGCTCCTGAAACATGAAGTCATGGTGGAGTATGGTATCTTCCGAGACTGCAGAGTAAACCTGTATGATCTCTAGGGGGTGTGCGTGCAACGAACAGTGATGTAAGAAGTAGAAACAGAGTGCAGATTCAGAGGATGGTCAGCACCAGTAAATGGGTGATTTCACGCAGAGGAGTGATCCGGGCTGATTGTTTTTTGGAGCTGTGTTCAGAAGGGGTTTTTCCTCCCACGAGAGGTCGTGCAGTCAGTGAGATGATGTGACTTACCCAAGTTCGGCGTTCTCACTGTGCCACACCACCTTCGCCTCCCCTACCCGACCTTGAGGCTGGGAGCATTTTATTTTGTTGATAAATATGTAATTTTAAAGGCAAACTGCACTGATTAGTTATTTCCTCTAGATTAAAATAAATCATTAAATATTTTATATAAGTAAGTGCTTTTTAATGCTATAAATAATGCTTAGTGGCCATGGTAGAAAAATTAAAGTCTAAGGAAGTACCAAAAAGTAATAATAAACATACTGGCCTTTGAAAAACATTCCTTCCAGAAGAGGATCAAGAGATTGTGGGGGGAGGAGGAGTTATACTGTATACTTGTACCAACTTCCCATGATGAATATAATCATTATGCACTACAAATATGTACATGCATTAATAAAAAAATTCCTTCTTTTGTCAAATAATTATAAAACTTACCCCCCCCCCCAAAAAACTAAAGAGTTTTGACTGGAAAGTAAAGACACAAAGGAGACATTTCCACAATAATGGTTATAATTCACCTCAATAGGTTTATTTCCTTACTAACAGTTATAAGCATTTTATGGATAATTGAAGGAATTTTAGTTTGTTAACTTTAATTTGGATGCTTGTACTAATGAATGCAGTCATTTTTGCCTGGAGAATTAAAGGGTTTTCTCAGTCTGGGTCCTTGTTCAGTGAATTCCAGCCTCTGTTAAATGTCTTCTGCAACTAAGAGACAGAAGCTGTTAGTTGCTCTCTGTCTATATCATATGTGTCCTGAGACATGTCTCCAGGTGCATGCCTCCTACCTTTAATACATGCAAGAAGTTTTATTTCTTTAAAATGTATAACTGTAGAGAAAAGAAGGCTGCCAAGATGGGTGTTTTCTGTTTATTCTTCCTGATTTTATCTTTTTAATTAAGAGGTCATGTAGTGATGGGACATAAGAATCTCTTGTCTCTGAAGAAAACTCAGCTTAAAATTTTGACCTTTTTTAGTTATAAACATCAACCTGTTATTGACTTGGTTAAGGTTAATTTCACTTCTTTCCTTTTATTTTTCTTCATTATTAAGTCTCATATCATTGTTGTAACTTTGAAATTAACATTGTGTTTCACAAGCATAATGCTGTGGCACATAATCTTATTTGGCCCTGGATTAATTATGGAAATCCAAAAGTAAGAGGGATTTAACTCCAGACCAGTTTTTTATCCTCTATATCATTTCCTAAAAGTGCATTCTGAGATGTTCTCTAGTAAAAAGTTGGAAGAAAAAGGCTCAAAATTACAAAACATACCATAGATAGACTTGGACAGGAATCACTAAACAGGAAAGAGAGAGAGAGTGTATGTGAGTCAGAGAGAGAGAGAGAGAGAGAGAGAGGTAGGTTGGTTGGTTGATTGATTGATTGATTGATTGAGAACATAAAGTCCATGGGCAAAATTCTAGCTAAGGACCAGGGATTTAGCTCAGAGGCATAAACACCTGCCTGACAAGTGCAAGGTTGTGAGTTTGATCCTCAGTACAAAAAAAAAATTCTAGAGAGACGAAGAGTAAGTACAAATTTTGAGTAAAACAGTATCTGATTAGCTCAGCATCACACTATACTCAAACATAAGATCGCACAAGGACAAAAAATATAGTCCAACTCTACTTTAATACCAAAAATGTTTTAAAATCCTAAATAAAATGCCCACAAATGGAATCCAAAAGTGTTCTAAAAAAATAATACTTCATGACAATTGAGGCCACCCTCTAATAATATAAAGATGGTAGGATCCATCAGAAAGCTGTATTAATCTGTTCAGATTGAAGAAGAAAATAATTTCATATTTCCAATCGAAGAAAAAAATACTATTTGATGAAAGGAAATACTCATTGCTAATGAATAAACTTACAAAGAAAATGAATAAATACAGAAGTGAGAATAAGAAGCAGATTTGCAGCTGCTAACCAGAATTGTTGAGCAGCAGTTGTTACATGGCTACCACTCCAAGGACCTGTGGCCCAGTTTCTCTTCAGTCATGCTAACCCCGGTGAGGGGAAGGGTATATACAAGCTGAGGGAAAAGGTGGGCTTGGGGAGATGATATGCTGATGTAAAGGAAGGATATTGTAACACCACGACTCATATTGAAACTAAAAGACAACTCTAACTGAATACTACCGTCTCTTCAAGAGCTAGCGCAGCAAATGGCTTTCCCCACTCAGAGCAAATAATAATCTGGAACAAAATAGCAATAAAACTATGCATAGGTAACCAAAAACAGGCAAAGACAGATGAAGAAAAAAGAAAAAGTAGGAATAAATTTTACATAAAAAGGCCCAAAGTAGAGCTAGACTAGGTCTATGTTCCTGCCCTAACAAAAAATAGACAAAATATGTGAGACAATCATTTTCAAGGCCCTAGCCAGCAGGCAACAAAGGACAGTGGTATCTCAGGGGTGAAAAGCACACATATAAGTCCTACAGTCACCCCAGTGTCCTGTCCCTGTATGGGGTTTGCTAACCCATGGCCCACACAGCGAACTGAAGTAGAATACAGTGGGCACCCCAGCCAGTAAGGCTGAGAGCAGAATCTGGGGAGACCAGGGCAGCGGTGTTTACAACTCAAAGTGCCAGAGAGGAGAGAGGTACAGATAACTTCGGAGATGTGTTTAAGATTCCCTTGAATATCCTAAAGTACTGACCAAGGGAAGAGAAAACTGCCCGTGCCTGGGGGAAGAGGTAGCTGAGAGACCAGAGGAAGAGCATCATTTGCTCACATTCAGCCAGGAAAAGGATGTCTCCCTCCCAGGCAGACCGGAGTGCTCATGGTTCATAGGACACTGGTGAGGACCCAGCAGGGCTTGGGGAGAAGGTGCCCCTAGAATAATGACTGCTGTGGTAAATACTGCCTAATAAATCTTAAAAGCAAGATCCAAAAGATCAAACTGCTTGCAGATAATTTATGTCCTGGAACAAAGTACATCAAATATTTATAGGAATACAAAATTTTCCACAACCAAAAGCTAGAATTACAATGTCTGATTCCAGTTCAAGCTTTCCAGGCATGCAAAAAGGCAGTAATAATCCATTCTGAGAGACAAGAGTAACCCAACTAATACTAACCCAGAACTGACAAAGGTGTTAAAATTAGCACAGACATTAAAAACTATTATAATTAAATTATAGTGTTTGTACACTGACTACAGACATGGAAGATTTTTTTTTATAAAGTGTAAATCAAACTTCTAGATAAAAAAATATACAAATGTTTGAAATATTTCATGATTCAAAATAAAAATTAAAAAGGCAAAACTTAGCCCGCCGTGGTGGCACATGCCTATAATTCCAGCCCTTGGGAGGCTGACACAGGAAGATCTCTTTCAAGTTCAAGGCCAGCCTGGGGTGTACAGTAAGCTCAGAGCTAGCATTTGTAGCAAGACCTGTCTCCAAACAAACAAAAAAACCAAAGACCAAACATTGCTTTTCACGTTTATCAGATTTCTCCTCATCATCATCTTCTTTCATGAGCGGGAGCCAGACCTTTGCTAACATTTCCTTCCAGATGAACCCTGAAGCTGAATACAGATAAGTGTAAATTAGCCTCTTTGTCTACCTCCTGCAGTTTGTACTCACTCTGTACTTATTATTTCTGTAGCCAGGTACCCACATGCACACCTTTCATGTTCTGTAAAACATCTGAAAACAGTCTTTCTTTTCTTCTTAGAGCTGGGTAATGAACTCTGTGCCTCTTCCATACTAAGTACATGCTGTACCTTCAAGGCTGAGGAGTGTTTAAATAAAGTATGTCCCAAATGGTGACATCATGAGCATTTAAGGCCAGGGACCATGACTCAGTGGTAGAGGGCTTGCCCAGCAAGTGCAAGGCCCTAATCTCCATCCCCAGCACCATTCAAAAATGTTTAAAAAGGAGGCCTAAAGGTATAACTCAGT